CTCACACATATCAAAATATACTGGAGGCAAAGTGCTCTCACACATATCAGAATATACAGGAGACAAAGTGCTCTCACACATATCAAAATATACTGGAGGCAAAGTGTTCTCACACATATAAAAAATTACAGGAGACAAAGTGCTCTCACACATATCAAAATATGCTGGAGACAAAGTGCTCTCACACATATCAAAATATACTGGAGGCAAAGTGCTCTCACACATATCAAAATATACTGGAGACAAAGTGCTCTCACACATATCAGAATATACAGGAGACAAAGTGCTCTCACACATATCAAAATATACTGGAGGCAAAGTGCTCTCACACATATCAAAATATACTGGAGGCAAAGTGCTCTCACACATATCAAAATATACTGGAGGCAAAGTGCTCTCACACATATCAAAATATACTGGAGGCAAAGTGCTCTCACACATATCAAAATATACTGGAGACAAAGAGTTCTCACACAGAATATACTGGAGGCAAAGTGCTCTCACACAGAATTTACTGGAGGCAAAGTGCTCTCACACAGAATATACACAACGTCCCGTTCCATCACATGCCTAATGTGATTTTACTGTCGTCTCTGGGTAAAGTTGACGATAAGTACAGCTCTAAAAGCTATAGGCTACCATTTCAGTCTTAGGGGAGTGAAGACGGTCAGGGAAAAGGGGTTTGGGTGTGTGTGTGTGTGTGTGTGTGTGTGTGTGTGTGTGTGTGTGTGTGTGTGTGTGTGTGTGTGTGTGTGTGTGTGTGTGTGTGTGTGTGTGTGTGTGTGTGTGTGTGTGTGTGTGTGTGTGTGGTGTGTGTGTGTGTGTGTGTGTGTGTGTGTGTGTGTGTGTGTGTGTGTGTGTGTTGTGTGTGTGTGGTGTGTGTGTGTGTGTGTGGTGTGTGTGTGTGTGTGTGTGTGTGTGTGTGTGTGTGTGTGTGTGTGTGTGTGTGTGTGTGTGTGGGTGTGTGTGTGTGTGTGTGTGTGTGTGTGTGGTGTGTGTGTGTGTGTGTGTGTGTGTGTGTGTGTGTGTGTGTGTGTGTGTGTGTGTGTGTGTGTGTGTGTGTGTGGTGTGTGTGTGTGTGTGTGTGTGTGTGTGTGGTGTGTGTGTGTGTGTGTGTGTGTGTGTGTGTGTGTGTGTGTGTGTGTGTGTGTGTGTGTGTGTGTGTGTGTGTGTGGTGTGTGTGTGTGTGTGTGTGTGTGTGTGTGTGTGTGTGTGTGTGTGTGTGTGGTGTGTGTGTGTGGTGTGTGTGTGGTGTGTGTGTGTGTGTGTGTGTGTGTGTGTGTGTGTGTGTGTGTTTGTGGTGGGTGGGTGGTGTGTGTACTGCATTCGAACATGGAGATTAATTTCGAATAAAAATGACAAAAGTATATTTTCAAACAAACCAAGACTGAATGTGTAATATCCAAGGCTCCACAGCGAGTAACAAACCAGCCTTTCATTAGGATTAAAACCACACAGAGTATTTTAATAAATGGAACGTGTCCAAATACACCATTTACTGTCCTAAAGGAGATGATGTCATGTCTGGGAGCCCTAACATTATGACCAGGAGGGAAGTACAGGTATGACCAGGGGGGAGTACTGTTATGACCAGGGGAGAAGTACAGTTATGACCAGGGGAGAAGTACAGTTATGACCAGGGGAGAAGTACTGTTATGACCAGGGGAGAAGTACAGTTATGACCAGGGGAGAAGTACAGTTATGACCAGGGGAGAAGTACAGTTATGACCAGGGGAGAAGTACAGTTATGACCAGGGGAGAAGTACAGTTATGACCAGGGGGGAGTACAGTTATGACCAGGGAGAAGTACTGTTATGACCAGGGGAGAAGTACTGTTATGACCAGGGGAGAAGTACAGTTATGACCAGGGGAGAAGTACAGTTATGACCAGGGGAGAAGTACAGTTATGACCAGGGGAGAAGTACTGTCATGACCAGGGGAGAAGTACTGTTATGACCAGGGGAGAAGTACAGTTATGACCAGGGGAGAAGTACTGTTATGACCAGGGGAGAAGTACTGTTATGACCAGGGGAGAAGTACAGGTATGACCAGGGGGGAGTAACTGTTATGACCAGGGGAGAAGTACTGTTATGACCAGGGGAGAAGTACAGTTATGACCAGGAGGGAGGTACAGTTATGACCAGGGAAGAAGTACTGTTATGACCAGGGGAGAAGTACAGTTATGACCAGGAGGGAAATACAGTTATGACCAGGGGAGAAGTACAGTTATGACCAGGGGAGAAGTACAGTTATGACCAGGGGATAAGTACTGTTATGACCAGGGGAGAAGTACAGGTATGACCAGGGGAGAAGTACAGGTATGACCAGGGGAGAAGTACAGTTATGACCAGGGGAGAAGTACAGTTATGACCAGGGGAGAAGTATCTCCTGAGTGGCGCAGTGGTCTAAGGCACTGCATCGCAGTGCTAACTGTGCTACTAGAGATCCTGGTTCGAATCCAGGCTCTGTCGCAGCCGGCCGCGACCGGGAGACTCATGGGCGGCGCACAATTGGCCCAGCGTCGTCCAGGATAGGGGAGGGAATGGCCGGCAGGGATGTAGCTCAGTTGATAGAGCATGGCGTTTGCAACGCCAGGGTTGTGGGTTCGATTCCCACGGGGGGCCAGTATAAAAAAATATAGGTATTCACTAACTGTAAGTCGCTCTGGATAAGAACGTCTGCTAAATGACTAAAATGTAATGTAATGTAAAATGTAAGTACTGTTATGACCAGGGGAGAAGTACTATCATGACCAGGAGGGAAGTACAGTTATGACCAGGGGAGAAGTACATTTATGACCAGGAGGGAAATACTGTTATGACCAGGGGAGAAGTACAGTTATGACCAGGAGGGAAGTACAGTTATGACCAGGGGAGAAGTACATTTATGGGGTAGTACTGTTATGACCAGGGGGAGAGTACTGTTATGACCAGGGGAGAAGTACTGTTATGACCAGGGGAGAAGTACATGTTATGACCAGGGGAGAAGTACTGTTATGACCAGGGGAGAAGTAGGTATGACCAGGGGGAACTGTTGACCAGGGGAAGTACAGTTATGTAACTGGCCCAAGACATTACCAGAGAGACATTAGCATGAACTTGTTTCGCTATTGTAATTAGTGGATTGGAGTGATATGTGAACATTTGAGACTGGAATAATGTCATGTGGAGTAGTGATGTCATAAAGAAACAGAAGCAGACATTCCAGGGTCATGAGGTCATAATAGGGTCTCATTGGTAGGATGTCACAGCGCTCTTTAGATCACACATTATGAACATTCCCAGGTCATAAGATCATCACAGTAGGGTGCATCATTATTTTCATGGTCTGGGCCAATCTGTGATGTCGTACAGCCGCAGGGTGAAGAGGACATACAGATTGTGAGGACAGTGGGACAGTGAGGTTTCCTTAAAGGTCTCATAAGACATCAGTTTGTCATGTGATTTTTATCCTTGATCCGGGCCAGCCAATGATAAGGGGTGCAGTTCTGTGCTTAAAATGGAAATAACTTGTTGAATAAACAAATAAAATAAAAATTAATGAAATACGGTAACCAAAACCACCCATTGTATTCGGCATAGTAAAACACACACACATACACACCTGCATATGCCCAGCATGGAAACACAAATATGGTGACCTACAGTAGACTAAATACTGTATCACACAGCATTGTCCATGACTAAAGAGATATATTGTATACAGACAGCATTGTCCATGACTAAAGAGATATATTGTATACAGACAGCATTGTCCATGACTGAAGAGATATATTGTATACAGACAGCATTGTCCATGACTAAAGAGATATATTGTATACAGACAGCATTGTCCATGACTGAAGAGATATATTGTATACAGACAGCATTGTCCTGAAGAGATATATTGTATACAGACAGCATTGTCCATGACTGAAGAGATATATTGTATACAGACAGCATTGTCCATGACTGAAGATATATATTGTATACAGACAGCATTGTCCATGACTGAAGAGATATATTGTATACAGACAGCATTGTCCATGACTGAAGAGATATATTGTATACAGACAGCATTGTCCATGACTGAAGAGATATATTGTATACAGACAGCATTGTCCATGACTAAAGAGATATATTGTATACAGACAGCATTGTCCATGACTGAAGAGATATATTGTATACAGACAGCATTGTCCATGACTAAAGAGATATATTGTATACAGACAGCATTGTCCATGACTGAAGAGATATATTGTATACAGACAGCATTGTCCATGACTAAAGAGATATATTGTATACAGACAGCATTGTCCATGACTAAACAGATATACTGTACTAGCACACACACATCAGATGATGGTCAGATTGCGCAACAGGAGAACATGCATGAGAGGATGTTGCCGTGGCGCTGTCGTATCCACGACAGGAAACAAAAAGCAGTACTAGTCAGTTCAGACTGACAGATATTTAACGAGCGAGCGAGAGAGAGAGAGGGATTTTCATTCACTTCACTGTCTTGAAGAACCCACACGGCTGCACCCCAAGCACACTATCTAATGATTCCAATCTGCTGAGAGAGAAGAAGCCACGGTCCTCCAGGAGCCTCCATCAGGACCAGTCTACTCTCAATCAGGTGGGTTCACTCAGACACATGAGACAGAATTACTCAGCATTAGTGAACATCTGTCAACAGGACATTAACAAAATGGTGAACATGTACGACAGGGAATAAGATATTAAACCTCTTATGTAATTTTGAAAGTTTCACATTTAAGCTTTGTTAATTGTAATGGCTTCATGGCTGTACATGGTTAAAGTTAATATACAGGTGCATTTTGTAAGTGTATTACATTTTTGATTAAATTAAAACAGCGTTTCTGTATGGGAGGGCAGTTCTACTGTCTCTAAGCCAGTCATCATGACAGTAAGCTGACTGTAGTAATGGATGAAATAAGGAAGAATACAGCAATGTACAATTTTCATTTTGTTTTTGCTCTACACAGCACAACCCTTGACATGGACAACACAACAGAATTTGCCCTGACCCCTGTCAATCACAACCTCACCAACAGCAGCTGTTCCCGTGACAACGTGCTGAAGACGGTGGTGTTCCCTGTTCTGTACTCCATCCTCTTCCTGTTGGGCCTGTCCCTCAACGGCCTGGCAGTGTGGGTGTTCTTCAGCATCCCCAGCCGCTCCCACTTCATCATCTATCTCAAGAACATTGTAGTGGCCGACGTCCTCATGACCCTCACCTTCCCCTTCAAGGTGCAGTTATAACGATAATAATGATAATATTCATACAATTTATAACGATAACAATGGAAAGTATTGATAAGTTCTAACGATGATAATTATAATATTGATACAACTTTTTAAAAAACTACTTTTAGAAAATGCAATAAAATCACTGCGTTTGCTAAATAAAGATGTGTTTTTCCTTCAGGTGCTGTCTGACTCCAACATGGCGTCCGTGGGTATGCGTGTCTTCGTCTGTCGCGTCTCCTCGGTGCTCTTCTATCTCACCATGTACATCAGCATCCTCTTCTTCGGCCTCATCAGCATCGACCGCTGCAGGAAGACCCTCCAGCCCTTCAAGGGGACCAACGCGGCCCGTCTGGCCCACAGGAAGCTGCTCTCTGGGGCTGTCTGGGGCTCCCTGCTGGCCCTCTCCCTGCCCAACATGGCCCTGACCAGCCGCAGCCCCACCTCGGACAACTTCAAGTGCGGTGATCTTAAGACGGCGGCTGGGCTCCGCTGGCATGAGGTTGTCAACCATGTGTGTCAGGTCATCTTCTGGGGCAACCTGGTGACGGTGACGATGTGTTACGCCCTCATCACCAAAGAGCTGTATAGTTCATACGCCCGCAGCAAGGCTTGCCGTGCTGGTGGAGCCAAACGCAGAGCTGGTACTGACGGGGGTACTGTTAAAGGGCAGCGCCAGCCCCGGAGGAAGAGTGTGAGTTCAAATGTCTTCCTGGTGCTGGCTGTGTTCTTTGTGTGCTTCGCTCCGTTCCACTTCGCCCGCGTGCCGTACACCATGAGCCAGACCAGAGGACACCTGTTTGACTGCAACCTCAAGCTGTTCTTCTTCCAGCTGAAGGAGAGTACCCTCTGGCTGTCCTCCCTCAACGCCCTCCTGGACCCTCTCATCTACTTCTTCCTCTGTAAGTCCTTCAGGACCACCCTGTTCAAGACCCTCCGTCTCCCACCTGGGACCTATAGCTGGCTCACTGGGAGTGGGTCCGGCCCCAACACAGCGGAGGATCAGACCCCAACATAGGAGACTCCACTGGGAGACTCCTGTGCCTGAATGTAGGTAACTAAAACTCTATGTTCTATCTGTATTGAGCTGATGAATGTTTCACAGAGGATCATACTGCCCTCTCCTGGAAGGTTGACTGAACTGAACTGTGTGTTGATTAAACTGTCTGGGCAATGAGAACATTCAATGGGACCTTCCAATGGGAAAAATCAGTGGGACCTTCCAATGGGAACAATCAGTGGGACCTTCCAATGGGAACAATCAGTGGGACCTTCCAATGGGGACAATCTGTGGGACCTTCCAATGGGAACAATCTGTGGGACCACTGCGCCACTCGGGAGACACCCTCTAAACATCATCATAACCTCATGCCAAGGAAAGCACCTCAGGTCTCTCAGTCTCTCTCATAACAGCTTAGTTCCCTACAGTGTAATTCTGCTTTGACCACATTGTTTTACCTTTAGGAACTGAAATAGGAGACATGTATTTCCCCTGTAATTATGTGTAACAATGGCACAGCGTTTACGCCTAAAATGTACAGGATAGCGTCAGCAGAACGTTCTATACTGCATAAAGTTGTCAAATCTAAATGTTTCTTTCTCTCCCATTCATTTATCCATGTATATAACCATTCTTCAACACACCAATATCAAATCAAAATCAAATTTGATTTGTCACATGCGCTGAATACAACACCTTACCGTGAAATGCTTACAATGTGATACTAAGGGATAAATCCCCTGATTTAGATGATGCATTGAAAGCTTGCCATTCCATATGTTAGACAGACAGTATACAACCTATTAACAGTTGGTCTATGGGGAGGTGAGAGGCTGGATCCAATTGCTGCAGGGGCGGATTGGCCATCTGGCAATTCTGGGAAATGCCAGATGGGGCGGACTATTTTTTTTGTTGGGTAGGGCTGGTAGAAATTGACACACACACAAAACAAAAATTATATTGTGGCACACCGCCACGGACAAGCCACCAGGGGGATACTCGTCGAGGCCAGGTGACAGACGGCGTCTACATCACGTGGGGTGCCTCCTTCTGCTGGACGTGCCAGGTCTCGACGGGTCCTCCGGCCAGGACTAATTGGGGCTGATTGAGGCTGGTGAGTAATCAAGGGGCTGATTGCTCATCAGCCGTACGGTGCCCATAAAGCTGCCAGGAGGGCAGCACATGGGAGGGTTGGAGATAGTGAGATGTTGCTACCGGACAGACGTCCTCACGGTCTGCTAGAACAGAAGGGCTAGGAGGAGACAGCATTCCCAGAACAGCTAGGCTAGGAGGAGACAGCGTTCCCAGAAGGGCTAGGCTAGGAGGAGACAGCGTTCCCAGAACAGCTAGGCTAGGAGGAGACAGCGTTCCCAGAAGGCGGTGTCACGGTCTGCTAGAACAGAAGGGCTAGGCTAGGAGGAGACAGCGTTCCCAAAACAGCTAGGCTAGGAGGAGACAGCGTTCCCAGAACAGCTAGGCTAGGAGGAGACAGCGTTCCCAGAAGGCGGTGTCACGGTCTGCTAGAACAGAAAGGCTAGGAGGAGACAGCGTTCCCAGAAAGGCTAGGAGGAGACAGCGTTCCCAGAAGGCGGTGTCACGGTCTGCTAAAACAGAATGGCTAGACTAGGAGGAGACAGCGTTCCCAGAAGGCGGTGTCACGGTCTGCTAGAACAGAAAGGCTAGGAGGAGACAGCGTTCCCAGAACAGCTAGACTAGGAGGAGACAGCGTTCCCAGAAGGGCTAGGCTAGGAGGAGACAGCGTTCCCAGAACGGCTAGGCTAGGAGGAGACAGCGTTCCCAGAAGGGCTAGGCTAGGAGGAGACAGCGTTCCCAGAAAGGCTAGGAGGAGACAGCGTTCCCAGAAGGGCTAGGCTAGGAGGAGACAGCGTTCCCAGAAAGGCTAGGAGGAGACAGCGTTCCCAGAAAGGCTAGGAGGAGACAGCGTTCCCAGAAGGCGGTGTCACGGTCTGCTAGAACAGAAGGGCTAGGCTAGGAGGAGACAGCGTTCCCAGAACAGCTAGGCTAGGAGGAGACAGCGTTCCCAGAAGGCGGTGTCACGGTCTGCTAGAACAGAAGGACTAGGCTAGGAGGAGACAGCGTTCCCAGAACGGCTAGGCTAGGAGGAAACAGCGTTCCCAGAAGGTGGTGTCACGGTCTGCTAGAACAGAAGGGCTAGGCTAGGAGGAGACAGCGTTCCCAGAACAGCTAGGCTAGGAGGAGACAGCGTTCCCAGAAGGTGGTGTCACGGTCTGTTAAACACAGAAAGGCTAGGAGGAGACAGCGTTCCCAGAACGGCTAGGCTAGGAGGAGACAGCGTTCCCAGAAGGCGGTGTCACGGTCTGCTAGAACAGAAGGGCTAGACTAGGAGGAGACAGCGTTCCCAGAAAGGCTAGGAGGAGACAGCGTTCCCAGAAGGGCTAGGCTAGGAGGAGACAGCGTTCCCAGAAAGGCTAGGAGGAGACAGCGTTCCCAGAAGGCGGTGTCCCAGAAGAGGAGACCGGTTTATTTAATTTTTCTTGATTGTTTTAAATAAACACCTTGAAACTGAGGTGTCACACTTGTGTCCATGTCTGATCAGTGTAAATGTCTAGATCAAACCCCCTGGTCTGCCACAATATAGGAAAACAAATATTTAAAAATCGTGTCATGGCCGGCGCCCCATGGGCCTGATAAGATAATTATTTTACGATTTCTGCGCAATTTGTCTGTTATAATAATCTATAGATAACTGCCCAAATAATGGATACACGTGAGTAAATGAGGGATACAAAGTATATTAAAAGCCGGTGCTTCCACACAGATGTGGTTCCTAAGTTAATTAAGCAATTAACATCCGATCATACTTAGGGTCATTTATAAAAATGCTGGGCAGGTCATTATTTTGGCTACCATGGGTATGCCTCCATAGGATGACAATGCCTCCATCCATAGGGAATGAGTGGTCACTGAATGATTTGATGAGCATGAAAACTATTTAAACCATATGCCATGGCCATCTCAGTCACCAGATCTCAACCCAATTGAACACATATGGGAGATTCTGGAGTGGCGTTTTCAACCACCATCAACAAAACACCAGATTATGGAATTTCTTGTGAAAAAATAGTGTCGCATCCCTCCCATAGAGTTCCAGACATTTGTAGAATCTATACCAAGGTGCATTGAAGCTGTTCTGACTCATGGTGGCCCAACGCCCTATTGAAACACTTTATGTTGACGTTTCCTTTATTTTGGCAGTTACCCGTGGAATGAGCCTTTAGCTGGGGGGTGTGAGTTGACGGCACGTGCAGTGATGTGGGCTGGTGTTGATAAAATACCAGGGCCGCCCCTGTACTGCTATGATCACAGAGCATGTGGAGAAGTGGCAAGGTATGAAAGTAGAAACTACACTGTTAAGACACCAGAAAGAGGTGAGAGTTAATGTGAAAGAAATGGTGTGTGTGCAGGAGCGTAATAGAGAGAGAGAGAGAGAGAGAGAGAGAGAGAGAGAGAGAGAGGAGAGAGAGAGAGAGAGAGAGAGAGAGAGAGAGAGAGAGAGTACAGGCATCAAAACATCTAATCTGATCTGATTTTTTGAAGAACCAAAAACAGCAACTTCCCCATGAGAATATGACAAAAATACATAACCTCCCTAATGCTGAATCTAGGGAACTGTTGGGAGAAATACTATTCCACCAATTATAGACATTAGCAGTTGGTAGATCATGGCTCTTGCAACGCCAGGATTGTGGGTTTCATTCCGGGGTCACATTAAATGTATGCAGCATGTCTGTTAGTCGTTTTGGATTTAAAAAATACTTACATTATTGTTATATTGTAAGAAGTCTGACAAACAGGGGCAGCTTTTTTCAGTTGTATTTGTATTTATTATGGATCCCCATTAGCTGCTGCCAAGAATCTTCTTATTGGTGTCCTTTAGTCGTGGTTTCTTTGCAGCAATTTGACCATGAAGGTCTGATTCACACAGTCCCCTCTAAACAGTTGATGTTGAGATGTGTCTGTTACTTGAACTCTGTGAAGCATTTATTTGGGCTGCAATTTCTGAGGCTGGTAACTCTAATGAACTTATCCTCTGCAGCAGAGGTAACTCTGGGTCTTCCATTCCTGTGGCGGTCCTCATGAGAGCCAGTTTCATCATAGCGCTTGATGGTTTTTGCGACTGATCTTGAAGACACTTTCAAAGTTCTTGGAATTTTCCGGATTGACTGACCTTCATGTCTTAAAGTAATGATGGACTGTCATTTCTCTTTGCTTATTTGAGCTGTTCTTGCCATAATATGGACTTGGTCTTTTACCAAATAGGGCTATCTTCTGTATACCACTCCTACCTTGTCACAACACAACTGATTGGCTCAAACGCATTAAGAAGGAAAGAAATTCCAAAAATGTACTTTTAACAAGCAACACCTGTTAATTGAAATGCATTCCAGGTGACTACCTTATGAAGCTGGTTGAGAGAATGCCAAGAGTGTGCAAAGCTGTCATCAAGGCAAAGGGTGGCTACTTTGAAGAATCTCAAATATAAAATATATTTTGATATGTTTAACACTTTTTTGGTTACTACATGATTCCATATGTGTTATTTCATAGTTTTGATGTCTTCACTATTATTCTACAATGTAGAAAATAGTAATAATAAAGAAAAACCCTGGAATGAGTAGGTGTGCCCAGACCTTTGACTGGTACTGTATGTTGACATGGCCTATTGATTACCAGACACACTATTTATCTTATTATTAGTATTATTTTGTGCTATAATTTGCCATTTACCTTGAAACATACTATCAGTATTATTTTTCTTCCATTGTTGTGTCTCAATGGGCCACTAGGCTAGAAATAGGAGCTACGTGCAATAGTCAGGTCACTCTGAGGAAGACGTCATCTTGTCACCTGTTCACATCCTGTAAAATAGATTAAAGTGAGCTGAAATAAATAAATCTCTGCTTTTTTGTTGAGTGCTCCAACTCCTTTCTACAGTACCTGGAATTAGTCCTTTTCGAAGTTTTTCTTGGTAAGCCCATTTGTGTCATTGTTGTTGAGCACCCCTCCTTTCCTTAGTTTGTTGACGCGAAGGCTGAACCCCGTAGATCACTTCACTATTTCCTTTTTGTTTCCAAAGCTTCTGACTTACCTCACTTTTTTTGTTAAAGTATAAAAACATGAGTTACCAAACCTGTTCACAGGGTTGGTTAACTCTTGAGGTTCCTCGGGTCTCCACCAAATTAGGTAAATCCACTTTTAGTTTTAAAACAATTTGTAGAACTCATTACAACTGGATGTTCCGGTGCTACTCGGGCAGTTAAGGGTGTTATTTGAGCTGAGGAATTAATCGTATTTTTTGCTGTTTTGTTTTACATTGTATTGGTTGTTGAATTGCTGTGATCAGGGCTCCCTTGAAAATGAGACCCTGGTCTCAATGGGTTTTCCCTGAATAAATCAAGAATAATACAAATAAATACCATGTACAAAAACAAAATTACCTTTTTTTTGCGCATATAAATATGTGCCAATGGTATACATATATGCAGTACAGAACTCAGATAGGCTCTGAATCTACATAGAGAGCTGTATTGGTGTGTATTATCTGAAAAGTACACTCTTAGAAAAAAAAAGGTGCTATCTAGAACCAAAAAGGGTTCTAAAGGCTGTTCCAATAGGAGAACCCTTTGAAGAACCCAATTTGGTTCCAGGTAGTACCCTTTTAGGTTCCATGTAGAACCCTTTTAGGTCTACCTGGAACACAAAAAGGGTTCTACCTGGAACCAAAAAGGGTTTTCCTATGGGGAAAGCTGCATAACTTTTTTCTAAGGGTGTAGTTATTCTAGGGCAAATGTTTTATTTGAATCCAGGTATCTCTGGAGTCATAATATTAAGTTATACATATCATCAGAGGGTGGGGGGTGGGGGGGGGGGGGGGGGGGGGGGGGGGGGGGGGGGCATGAAGTACTAGCCTATGGTTATAATTGGTTATAACTAGGTATGACCTTGTACGAAATCAAAATTACATTAGATATACTGTATGTTTAGTTTCAGTCAAAACAGCTCATAAAAGTCTGTCAGTGGTATGAATACTTGGTAGAACTGTAATATGGAAACCAGCTAACCTCTGAGTGTACACATAGTGCTGTATTCTACCAAAAATAGTTATTGTACTGAAAATGTGATATAAATGCCAGTATTCGTATAATATCCTCCAATATTCTATATGTGCAAATTGTTATGATATTTTGGTTTGACTTAGAATATGTGTGCATTCTTTTGAAGCATGCTGCCATAGCCCCTACCATGCTAATGCTTGCTGTGGGCTAAGTAAATAAAGAAAACAAAGCCATATTTTGGTCAATGTCTCTGAGGATCAATTCGGAAAACTAAATGATACTATAATCAAATGACGGTAAATTAGCTTTTTAGTACTAATGTGGATTGTACTTTGAAAACTGCACATTATATGAAGAAAAAAAATCATATTTTCGTTTTACAGAATATGGAAAAAACTCTAATTTTGCTAAAATAACAGTCTGTTTTGGTATTTATTTTTCTGATAACATTAATTAATCTAATGATGTTTTGATAAGAAATAAGTTGATATTTTGCTATGATTAGTGCTTTTCCAATAGCTTTCTTCTAGGGGTCAAAATGACCCCAGTTGGTAATCGATGTATGTAAAATATGTTGGTAGCTTGAGGGTTAAATGAATGATATCTAGACATTCTCCATTGAACATGCTTTATAGTCCATGACTATGTTTAACCAGCCGCTAATGTTTTGAAGACTCAGTGTTTTTTTTTACAATTACATGGTTTACAAACAATGGAGTGACACAAGATTATATTTTGATTTCTGATGGGATATGACAGTTGAAATAAGCACAGGAAGCATTTATATTCTTAAATTACATTCATCAAAAGGCAATGGCTACATATAATTCATTCAAAATTCAAAAAATGTATGTACCGATCGCAGATTTCCCCTTTAAATCTAGAAATTAAATAGATTCCATAAATATGACTATAACAAGTCTCTACTTCCTGTCGTTCATCCCGGCACTCATCATCAATGAGGTAGCAGTCTCAGTCTGCATGCGCCTTCGCCTCAACGTCCACCTTCACGGTGTATCTGAAGAACCTTTGTGGCCGCTGACCTCCTCATGACCCTGACTATCCCTCTCAAAGCAGCCAGTGTCCTGCCCAGCGCTCCTCTGGCTCAGAAGACCTTTTCCTGTCACTCCTCTGATGTTATTTTCTACCTCTGTGTGTACATGAGCATCCCTCTACTGGGCCTCATCAGTCTGGACCGCTTCTTCAAGATCGTCAGGCCCCCCGTGGCAGGTCGTTGGGTCAGAACCTGGTCTGAAAATGAAAAGCGAGGCAGGACGGGGTTTTCACAGAGGCGTGGTCACATTCAGCAGCGTGATCTTCTGGATGGTGTTTCTTCTTGTTTGTTTCTGTTGCATGTGCATAGCGAGAAAAGGTTTTTCAATCATACAGGAAATCAGGAAGCAGCAATGACGAGGGGAGGCATAACACCAAAGTGTTTTTGGTTCTGGTGGTCTTCCTGGTGTGTCTCGGCCCATACCCAGCTTCCCTTACACCCGGCTTCAGGTTACCTCAATGACCAACTGCACTAAGGGCACCTTACGGATCTCTAAAAAGATCACCTTGTGGATGTCAGCCATGAACGTCTGCCTGTACCCTCTCATCTACTTCTTCCTCTGTAAGTCCTTCAGGACCACCCTGTTCAAGACCCTCCGTCTCCCACCTGGGACCTGTAGCTGGCTCACTGGGAGTGGGTCCAGGCCCCAACACAGCGGAGGATCAGACCCCAACATAGGAGACTCCACTGGAAGACTCCTGTGCCTGTATAGAAAATAAAAACTCTTCTCAATGATCTGCTTTCTGTTGTGTGTTGTTCGTTTCACAGAGTATCATACTGCCCCCTGGTGGAGGGTTAACTATCCTACTAGTTATATTAGACGGTTAGGGTTATTACACCAGGAGTGATGTAATATCCTGCTAGTTATATTAGAAATGAATCCACCAGGAGTGATGTAATATCCTACTAGCTGTATGTGTTGAAGGCCTACTATGGATTTGTTCATGGAGGTATGTTGTGCCCCATAAAAAGGGGTTAAATATGTGTCAAAAAAATCAAATAAAATGAACCCCTGATATTTCTTATGTCTCCTAGATAAAGGACACACACTTCAAAACCTTATTTCTTCTGATTGATATTGTCTGTCTGTTTTTTCCCCGTATGAATGTTATTCCATGTATTTCTATGGGCCATAGCAGTAAAGGCAAAATGCAATATTATATCTAATAATTTGTACATATTTTGTTTTGATACCTACAGGGGTGCTACAATTCTAAATCAAAATAGCTAAATGATCCATGGTATGACCATCTTAAAACAATTCCATATGTTAGCTTAGTATATAACCCCCTCATGTTGTGTTGGAGCTCTCTCCTCCTCTAAGTCACCCTTTGTTGCAGGTCATTATGATGTTATGGTCAGCTGGCCCCCCATGCTAACTATTAGCTTTCTGGTGTTTTCCATATTGTATTATTATGGTGTATCGTTTTTGTGTGTTTGTATGTTGAATTCACAAAATAAATGTTCACGTAAATGGACAATAAAGTATATAATATCGTATCGTATTGTGGTGGCAGAATTTAGGGTGAGCTGTTGTAACTTCTCAAGGGATGTGTTCTGTGTTGGACTGTGATGTTGTGCCTTTCATAGACTCCTGGCATGTCTGCACCCTGACACAAGGCCATTGTGTTCTGGAACTGCTGCTTGTATAAAGAACTGTTGTGTAACAATATGACTGTATTATCACCTCCCACTATATAAGGGAGATGTGACCGTTTACTCTCTGAGTTCTTCCCACTATATAAGGGACATGTGACCATTTACTCTCTGAGTTCTTCCCACTATATAAGGGACATGTGACCATTTACTCTCTGAGTTCTTCCCACTATATAAGGGACATGTGACCATTTACTCTCTGAGTTCTTCCCACTATATAAGGGACATGTGACCGTTTACTCTCTGAGTTCTTCCCACTATATAAGGGACATGTGACCAGTTCTTCCCACTATATAAGGGAGATGTGACCATTTACTCTCTGAGTTCTTCCCACTATATAAGGGACATGTGACCATTTACTCTCTGAGTTCTTCCTTGTGAAATCAGAGGCGGATCTTCGCTCTACCTGCTTGTATTAAATACTTTTCTATTATACAATGAAATAGTCTCTGCCTTAATCTTTGGATCTAATTTTCCACAACAGTATCGTATACTATTTAAAAACCATACCAATAAAGGAATACAGTGATCCTATTAGGTTTCAGATATATTCTTGGTTGCCAGATTAATCTACAGTATGTCAAAACAAGACTATCTTGGTTAAAATAATGTTGTGCGAACGATACACTGCATTAGAGACTCACAATAACTTAACCTGATCTTACTGTTGCTTTAGTGTCACTCTATTTGCATCTGTCCGGACATGTAGAGCCTTCTTGGGTAATTCCAGGGAAGGGCGAGGTGTGAGCTTTACTGCGTGGTGGTTCACACCTTGCATTTCCTGCACTGTGGTAGAGCACTACACCACTGTTCTGTTGGACCACTGGTTGTCTTCGGGTTGCTAGGTGAGTAAAATGTACCAGTTGATAAATGTCTCTCCTTACCATTTACTCTGAGCTGTTCTATTACATTTTACATTTTAGTCATTTAGCAGACGCTCTTATCCAGAGCGACTTAGTGCATACATTATTTTTTATTTTACATACTGGCCCCCCGTGGGAATCGAACCCACAACCCTGGCGTTGCAAACGCCATGCTCTACCAACTGAGCTACATCCCTGCCGGCCATTCCCTCCCCTACCCTGGACGACGCTGGGCCAATTGTGCGCCGCCCCATGGGTCTCCCTTAGACCACTGTGCCACTCGGGAGTTTTATGCATTGCTTCATCAAGGTACACTTAAAATGTATTATAAATGGGGTTTATAAGTATAGCTAATACATTTGTTAATCATTTGTTTAAAGATTCTATAGTTTCTAAATCTGTAAGAAAGAGTTATAGAACATTAATGATTATTTGCCTTTATACAGTAGAAAGATGTGTGGGTTGGTTTGTCTTGTTGTCTAAGAGCTTTGTATTAATTAATGGGGAGAGGAGTCCATTATAATTCCATACGTAATCAAAAACAGCTATTTGAAGTGAGTTTCCTAATGTCCATTCAAGTGAAATATAATTCAGATGAAACCAACTACATTGAATAATTATATTGACCACTAATGCTTTTTGCAGATGAATTAAAGTGGCTATGCAGAAGAAAACACAGATTAGTACTGCTATCTAAACAATACACCTCTCAGCATTCACTCCAGTCTCAGTGATTAATTTCAGTCCTATTTCAGCTGGTTGTCACACAGAATTCGCAGAACTCCCCGATACCAAATAGAGAGATGATTTTCAAGGAATAATTTACAGTGAGGGAAAAAAAGTATTTGATCCTCTGCTGATTTTGTATGTTTGCCCACTGACAAAGAAATGATCAGTCTATAATTTTAATATTAGGTTTATTTGAACAGTGAGAGACAGAATAATAACAAAAAAATCCAGAAAAACACGTCAAAAATTTATGAATTGATTTGTATAAGTATTTGACCCCCTCTCAATCAGAAAGATTTCTGGCTCCCAGGTGTCTTTTATACAGGTAACGAGCTGAGATTAGGAGCACACTCTTAAAGGGAGTGCTCCTAATCTCAGCTTGTTACCTGTATAAAAGACACCTGTCCACAGAAGCAATCAATCAATCAGGATTCCAAACCCCCCACCATGGCCAAGACCAAAGAGCTCTCCAAGAATGTCAGGGACAAGATTGTAGACCGACACAAGGCTGGAATGGGCTACAAGACCATCGCCAAGCAGCTTGGTGAGAAGGTGACAACAGTTGGTGCGATTATTCGCAAATGGAAGAAACACAAAATAACTGTCAATCTCCCTCGGCCTGGGGCTCCATGCAAGATCTCACCTCGTGGAGTTGCAATGATCATGAGAACGGTGAGGAATCAGCAAATATTGGGTGAGAACCTCCTTCCCTCAGCCAGGGCATTGAAAATGGGTCGTGGATGGGTATTCCAGCATGACAATGACCCAAAACACACGGCCAAGGCAACAAAGGAGTGGCTCAAGAAGAAGCACATTAAGGTCCTGGAGTGGCCTAGCCAGTCTCCAGACCTTAATCAAATAGAAAATCTGTGGAGGGAGCTGAAGGTTCGAGTTGCCAAACGTCAGCCTCAAAACCTTAATGACTTGGAGAAGATCTGCAAAGAGGAGTGGGACAAAATCCCTCCTGAGATGTGTGCAATCCTGGTGGCCAACTACAAGAAAAGTCTGACCTCTGTGATTGCCAACAAGGGTTTTGCCACCAAGTACTAAGTCATGTTTTGCTGAGGGGTCAAATACTTATTTCCCTCATTAAAATGCAAATCAATTTATAGCATTTTTGACATGCGTTTTTCTGGATAATTTTTTTGTTATTTTGTCTCTCACTGTTCAAATAAACCTACCATTAAAATTATAGACAGATCATGTCTTTGTCAATGGGCAAACATACAATATCAGCAGGGGATCAAATACTTTTTTCCCTCACTGTATATTTTCCTTTATTATTCCCCCTAACTCTACTTCCCTTCCCCTAATTGGAGTAAATAATGAACAACAACATTTAGGCTTCTATTTCCAGCTTATTCATTGGGCCGCGGAAAGATTCAGCAGGGTACTGGCATTACACACCTGGCTAAAATATTACTGTAGCTCTGCTGGAATAACTTTTATAGATAACTTTGACACCTTCTGGAAACAGAAGATACTCTACAGGAAGTCCATCCAAATCATCTTGGCTCCTGGACTCTGTCCACGCATTTCAAGGCTGCATTGAGACAATGACTAATCAGTGACCCAAGAACAGCTCAGTTAATCCCTACCTTTGTGACGCTGACTTGTCAAAATGCTGCATCAAATGTACATTATCCCAGGGGCGTTGACAGACACAATGTAATTAACTTAATTTATGTCCCCATAACTGCCCTGAATACCTCTGTTGATCCTACAGCTATTGTATGCAGTAATCATGAGCCTATGAACCAGAGTTACACTGTTAGCACTGAGGCGGTGTGCCCTAGTAGGAAGTCCACTGTGTGCAGCTCACCCTGCTCTAACATAAATAACATGAGCATGTCTACTTCTGCTAAGCTTTCCACGTAACGCATTAAAAACAATCAAGGAACCCAGAAAAGTGCTACAAAATAGCCCATATTAACATATGCAGCCTGAGAAACAAGGTCCATGAAGTCAATAACTTGCTTGTTACAGATGATATTCATATTCTGACTATCTCTGAAACTCACTTAGATAATACCTTTGATGATACAGTGGGAGCAATACATGGTTAAAATATCTACAGAAAAGGCAGAAATGCCAACGGGGGCGGTGTTGCGGTCTATATTCAGAATCACATTCCTGTAAAGCTTAGAGAGGATCTCATGTTAAATACTGTTGAAGTCATATGGCTACAGGTTCATCTGCCTCACCTAAAGCCCATTCTGGTGGGAAGCTGCTATAGACCACCAAGCGCTAACAGTCAGTATCTGGATAATATGTGTGAAATGCTTGATAATGTATGTGATATCAACAGAGAAGTACACTGCTCAAAAAAATAAAGGGAACACTTTAAAAAAACAATGTAATCCAAATCAATCACCTCGTGAAAAAAATTCAAAATTTTCCCCTTTTAAAAGGAAAGAAAACTGGAAAAATTGGACAAAACCCCCAAAAATTTTTTTTGGAAAAGGCCCGGT